GAACGTAATTGTTCAAAAATTGTATTCGAAAGCGTAATTTACTCTACATAGCTGTGAATGTCATTTACGAAGACAGATAGTGTCCTCTGAATGCTTTGCATTAACATGTTAATATTAACTTATAGAGAAAGTTTTGTTAATATGACTATGAAAGACTAATTCACGTGTTGCAACACGAAAAAGCTAGCAACTGCTGCGTACACTTCATAAAAGATTGTGTTCATTTGTGCTATAAATGTACTGCAAACATATCATCTTGATATCTATCACATTTTGACTCGGTTATAAAAATGCTGTTTATGGAAAGAGTGAATATAATTTATAAATTAATTTTAAACATTATCTTCTTTATATGATACATGAGCAAATTGGCGAGAGAAAATCAGTGAGTACTATCCTATCGGTTTTTTATTCTACTGTTGATTTTTGATACTATTTTGCTGCTACCTTGTAATTTACCTGATTTGGAGAGAAGATAAAAAGAAATAAAAAAGGATTGGCGTGCAAATGTTCTTGATACTTTCATTGTGCAGCTGTGCATGTTGGAATGGCAGCTCAAATCAGAACCAAAACAAGGGAACGAATGAGGCGTACATTGCACAACATAATCTGTACGATAACAGTAGTATAGACGAGTTGTGTAACAGCTACCTTGGAGAAGCGGATGTGGATAAGCAAGAACTAAATTCTGTGAATAAGCAACGTGATTTAACGAGACACACTTCCACAGAAAGTATACTCACTTCGATTGCTAATGATAGCCTAGGTATGATGCAAATGTCTGAGTCACACGTTAAAAGTTACATTCCACTCCATTCTAGTGATGCCGAAAGTTGCACTGGATATTCTGATCGTACCAGCAGCCATAATCTTGAAGCTACCAGGTGTTTAAAGCGGAGAAGGGAGGAAACAGTACAACCAATGTTGATACAGCAGAAAAACTCAGTAGGACCAACTGCTGGTGGTTACACGGTAGTGTCACAAGCAAAAACAGCAACAAGCGTTTACGAGCCACAGAACAAGTATCGAAGAGAATCACTGCTACAAAGTCAGACATTACATCCCGATCAAGTTCAACCACCACATCTTGAGCCAATCAATTCACTATATCCAAGTCGCGCTTCATATTCACAGTTTGAGACAACCAGTCCATCACATCTTGAACCAATCGATCTGCCCACTACTGAACATTCAGCTGATCTAAAAAAAGATACAAGAACAAACTACGATATGGATCCAGAGATACAAAGAATAATGCAGTTTATGCAAGAAGATAAAAACTTTAACAAAGGATTCTCGTCATTATTGGACACATACATATCTAAATATGCTATAACTGATGAACATCAATCAGCCAGCGTGTATCAACGATATAATGAACCGAAAGAGATGACATGCACTCAGTTGAATATGGGGAACACGCCTGTTCAGAACTTTAGCTGGAATATCTATGAACATGCACACCAAGTTCAAGGTATTATGAATGCTCGGCTACAGAGCTTTGGCTGTTTATGTGGATGGTTCGACAAACTTGAAATGATTACTAGACAAAAATGTTTTAAGTCTCTGTTTATGATGGGATATCAAGTAGAAGCATTATATAAGAGTTGTTA